CCCACACACACACCGTCTGCTCTTTCCTGACAGCTGTGATTGACAGCAGTGGAATCCAATGGCTCCTGCTGCTGTCTCTGAGCCATGAATGAGGAGGGAGACAGCCGAGAGAGCCTCTGCCTTTGTGTACATTACTGCATCAAGATGGGCTCAATTAAGTATTTGGGGAGGGGGGCTGCTTAGAAGTTTTTTACCTTAATGCAGAGAATTTACCACTTTTAACAGTTATAAAAGGCCCTTTTTTTGTTTTAGCATAGACTTGAAAACCGTGGAGATGCTTAGAACACCTGGTTATTGTTGCTGACTGTGCCTTGGTTGGGAACATTCGCCCTCTCTATTTCAGTCTTCTTTACAATTGCGCATTGAAAGTGAAAAAAAAAAATTTCAAATGTTGGGTTGTCCCCAAAAAAACTAATAGAAAGGAAATTTCCAATGGGGACACTAGTTTTGTTGACCAGGTGGTGGAAACTAAAGGGGTTCCCTCATTTGAAAGGATTTCCAGCACTTACTGCTTTGGTTATGAGACGGTAAATTAAGGTAAATCTACCCAATGGGACACAGATAACAAAAAATCTGTCTCACAGGGGTTATAACCTTCTCTTATGCAGGCCATAGACGGGCTGTGTTTATCGACCAATTATGTGAGCCGGTAAACGAAAAATTGGTCATGGTGCCGTTGCCGATGCTGCCACCAAGCTCACGAAAGAATGGGACAAGAAACCAGTTTGATAGAACAGGAGAGCAGCCACCAAACAATGTGACAGCAATACAAATACATTATGTTTTTTTATTTGGATTCAAATGGATACATTTGTTGCAACGACCAGCCTTTTTCTTATAAAATATATCATTTCTTCTCCTTCTCCTCCTTTTTCTTCCTATGGCCTGCATTACTCTATCCAAAATGAAAAGCAAAGGTTTGCCTATAGTTCTTCTATAAAAGGAATCCATTTTGTTTTTATGTGTTCTATTAATTTGTACTAAAATGTTTTTTTCCCACATTTAATTAAATTTCTTTGATCCAAATAAATATGAAAATACAACATATATTTATCATTTACTCAGGTGGAGTTTCTTAATCTTTGCAGCAAAAGTACCCAGAGGCCACTAATTAGAGACATGGAGGCTCTCAACTCATATTCAATACTATTTTTAAGATAACTGAATACAGAACAGAGCTATTTTTCCACATCTGAGTAAATCTACTAGGGAAGCTCAGTTACCAGGCTTTTTAAGTAAGCAGTTCATGTTTCAACTGCTTCAGGAAGACAAAGAAAATCCGAAGTGACACACTGGCTTCATTCTGTAGATTACGACCTGAGGTACAAGTTTCAATGGCCAATTTGCCCTTAAAGGAAACAAAACCTGTAACAATTATCTAGACCCAGCAAGCTCCAACAAAAGAATACAGAACTTCTCCCTTAATTAATGACAATTTCTCAATCATTTTGCAAGGCAGTAATGTAGCAGTTATGGTGCCACAAGCATTGTAACATCTAAGAGGGTAGGGAAATAGGGGAGAAACAGGATGGGATCTGTGCCATGATTGTACTTACTGTAACATGGCTATGGCTAATGTCTATCCCTGCACACAGTTTGTCAACCACATCACTATATCAGTACCCATTCCCCTCCTGGATGTGACAAAACAGAAAGCAAGATCAACACTGCACTGCTAACTAACCTCATACAATATGGACAATTTAAGAATCTGTAGTGGATGGAGAGATGGACTTTCATTTACTTCTTGGCAGGGCAATGGACCTACTCAGGTGCTGCAGTTTTCATTTAAAAATCCAGCCACTGGTTAAAGCAGTCAAACAAGAACATCTGTACAATCTTCTAGTGGTATTTTAATATGTCCCTTTAGGGTAATTGAGTGTGTACACATCCATTTAATTTGGCTGTGTGTCAAAATGACATAAGTTAGCCACTGGTTGTCACTTCCACGACATGCTAGCAGGAGTTGGATTTCTCTGTTGCTCTGATGTCATTTTGTTGTCATTTGGGTGGGTTTATTTGCCAATATGCGTCCTTGTAGGATTTGACTGTTCTTTTTCCAGAAGGTTTGCTACAATTCCAAATGTACACTATAGTGCACCCTAAAACCTTTCTAAGCATTGGGGGTTAGAGAATAATTGTAGGTAACCTGTAGATGTAATCAGTCGTGGTGTAATCTGTCATCAGATATGAAGATATGAAGAAAAGACTGTAAACATTGCACACTGATTGCTTTTCAATAAACAATACTCTACCCTATAATAGCAGTGAGTACAACCTTTTTGACCGAGTGTCCCTTGTGTAAAGCAACTTTTTTATTTTAAAGTAAAAAATTAACACAGCCTAGCAGCCACGATCCTACCCCTCTTCCTGGGGACCAACCCCAGCTTTCAGTGCTGTTGCACTCCATCCGCAACCCCCCCCCTGCCACATTTTCACACACAAAACACCGTCTGCTCTTTCCTGACTGGCTGTGATTGCAGCTATAACCAGCAGTGGCAAAATCCAATGGCTCCTGCTGCTGTCTCTGAGCCAATGAGGAGGGAGACAGTGCCGAGAGAGGCCTGCACGTGAATAGGTACATTTACAGCATCAATGATTGGGCTCAATTAGTAGGATGGGGGGAGGGGCACTTGAGGGGCTGCTTGTAGAAGGTTTTTTTACCTTTAATGCAGAGAATGTACCACCTGACTGTGCCTTGGTTGGGAACATTCGCCCTCTCTATTTGTCTTCTTTACAATTATCATTGAAAGTGAAAAAAAAATTTCCAAATGTTGGGTGTCCCCAAAAAAACTAATAGAAGGGAAATCTTCCAATGGGACACTAGTTTTGTTGACCAGGGTGGAACTAAAGGGGTTTCCCTCATTTGAATGGGATTTCCTCTCACTTACTGCTTTGGTTATGAGACGGTAAATTAAGGTAAATCTACCCAATGGGACACAGATAACAAAAAAATCTCACAAGGGTTATAACCTTCTCTTATGCAGGCCATAGACGGGCTGTTTATCGACCAAATTGTGAGCCGATAAAACGAAAAATTGGTCGGTGCCGTTGCCGATGCTGCCACCAATGCTCACGAAAGAATGGGACAAGAAACCAGTTTGATAGAGACAGGAGAGCACACCATACAATGTGACAGCAATACAAATACATTATGTTTTTATTTGGATACAAATGGATACATTTGTTGCAACGACCAGCCTTTTTCATATAAAATATATCCTTCTTCTCCTCCTTTTTCTTCCTATGGCCTGCATTACTCTATCCAAAATGAAAAGCAAAGGTTTGCCTATAGTTCTTCTATAAAAGGAATCCATTTTGTTTTTATGTGTTCTATTAATTTGTACTAAAATGTTTTTTTCCACATTTAATTAAATTTCTTCATGATCAAATAAATATGAAATACAACATATATTTATCATTTATCTCAGGTGGAGTTTATACAAATCTTTGCAGCTAAAGTCCCAGAGGCCACTAATTAGAGACATGGAGCTCTCAACTCATATTCAATACATTTTTAAGATAACTGAATACAGAACAGAGCTATTTTTCATTCCATGTGAGTAAATCTACTAGGGAAGCTGATACCAGGCTTTTTAAGTAAGCAGTTCATGTTTCAACTGCTTCAGAAGACAAAGAAAATCCGATGACACACTGGCTCATTCTGTAGATTAACCTGAGGTACAAGACAATGGCCAATTTGCTTAAAGGAAACAAAACCTGTAACAATTATCTAGACCCAGCAAGCTCCAACAAAAGAATACAGAACTTCTCCCTTAATTAATGACAATTTCTCAATCATTTTGCAAGGCCAGTATGATGTAGCAGTTATGGTGCCGCAAGCTCTGTAACATCGGTAAGAGGGTAGGGAAATAGGGGTAGAAACAGGATGGGATCTGTGCCACGATTGTACTTACTGTAACTAATGGCTATGGCTAATGGCTATCCCTGCACACAGTTCTGTCAACCATCACCACTATATCAGCACCCATTCCCCTCCTGGATGTGACAAAACAGAAAGCAAGATCAACACTGCACTAACCTCATACAATATGGACAATAATAATAAGAATCTGTAGTGGATGGAGAGATGGACTTTCATTTACTTCTTGGCAGGGCAAGCTGGACCTACTCAGGTGCTGCAGTTATCATTTAAAAATCCAGCCACTGATTAAAGCAGTCAAACAAGAACATCTGTACAATCTTCTAGTGGTATTTTAATATGTCCCATTAGGGTACATTGAGTGTGTACACATCCCATTTAATTTGGGCTGTGTGTCAAAATGAGAAGTTAGCCACTGGTTGTCACATCCACGACATGCTAGCAGGAGTTGGATTTCTCTGTGGCTCTGATGTGGAACCTGGTCAGTTGCTTGGGTTTTATTTGCCAATATGCAGGCACTCCCTTCTACTGTTACTTGTTCCAGAAGGTTTGCTACCATACCCAACCTTTTCATGTGCCACATCCTTAAAACGCTTGCTCTAATCATTGCTTCTTTAGAGAATTACGTCTGTCAGGTAACCTATTTTATGTAATCACGTCATCTAATCTGTCATCAGTAGGGAAGCCCTGAGGGCCAAGACTGGCAGCCTCACACTGCATTGTGCTTTTCAATAGAACCTCAATATTCCTTATACCCTATAGCAGTGATGGTGAACCTTTTTGAGCCCGAGTGCCCAAAACTGCAACACAAAACCAACTTTTTTATTTCAAAGTGCCAACACTGCAATTAACCACTTGCCTACCGGGCACTTCTACCCCCTTCCTGCCCAGACCAATTTTCAGCTTTCAGTGCTGTTGCACTTGACAATGACAATTGTGCGGTCATGCAACACTCATTTTTTCACACAAATAGAGCTTTTTTGGTGGTATTTAATCACCACTGGGTGTTTTTATTTTTTGCACTATAAATGAAAAAGGAGCAAAAAATTAAGAACATAAAAGGTTTTCTTTGCTTCTATTATAAAATTTTGCAAACAGGTAATATTTCTTCTTTGATGTGCGTTGGTGAGGCTGCACTAATAGGCAGCACTGATGGGCATTGATGAGGCAGCACAGATAGGTAGCACTGATGAGGCGGCACTGGTGGGCATTGATGAGGAGGCCCTGATGATGCACTGATATGCAGCAATGATGGGCACTGATAAGCGGCACTGACTGATAGCACCAACTGGAGGCACTGACAGACGGCACTGATCGGCGGCACTGCTGGGCATCATTGATGGGTGGCACTGATGGGCAGCACTGATGGGCGACACTGCTGGGCACTGACAGGTGGCACTGCTGGGCAGCACTGACAGGTGGCACTGCTGGGCAGCACTGACAGGCGACACTGCTGGGCACTGATGGGTGACACTTCAGTTAATCTCACCTCTGGCAGTGTCGGTGTGGCTTCCAACCCAGCAGCTTATTCCCATCCACGCTGAACACATCGCCCCTGGCCCCGGAGCAGTGTGGGAGCCTCTTCCTCTCTTCCACGCCCATCCCCGGCTACATCACCCCTGGTGCCAGATCCACATAGGAGCTGTTTCCTCTCGTCCACACCCACCCTGGCCCCAGAGACATGTGGGAGATGTAGTTTGATGGGGGTCCAGTGTGGACGAGATCTGGATGGCCGGTCAGTGTGCGTGGTCTGTGTGCGCTCATCTTCCTCTTCTTCCTGGCGTGCCCACTGAGATGGCTCTGCGTGCCAGCTCTGGCACGCGTTCCATAGGTTCGCCATCACTGCCCTATAGCATGGGGAAGTGCACACCTACTATTACTGACAGAGGGTCTACCTTACACTAACTTATGACAGTTTATCCATACTACAGCAATGACTCAAGTGTGTGTCAAAAAAAAAAAAAATTACTCAGAATAATATGGTAAAATCATTTAGATAGTTTAGTTCACCCTCTGCATTCCACTTCATACAATACCTAGGAATACACACACACACATACACAATCCCTTTACCGTGGAATGAAGATATATTGGCCTTCTGCAGGCACCACCTGGCTGACTGATCCCACGGCGGAGTAAAGAAACAACTGCCTGAAGTAGTTATTAGTAGACATCTGCTACCATTTCCTTTATATCTTACCCTCACCCTCTAAGTAGCAGACACCTGTCTAAATTCTTCCCCTCCTCTCCTCTCTGGAGACCATCACTGCAAAGGTTGGCCTGGAGCTGCAGAGCCTTTGCAAAAAAGTCTTGGCCGCATCCAGCGCCCACTGTGCACCACTCACCCAATTTCTTCCTATAGTTGGAACTGTACTCTTCTGGATAGAAACTTTTTTTAAAATTTTTGGTCTTAGTATAGATCTATATTTCTTCCAAGCATTTTTGACTCCACTTACTGTTGATTGGAGCCTACTGCGCTCATGCACTAGGGTATGTACCTCTGCCCAAAGGGGGCACTCATCAAAGACTAGGTGGGAACTGCGGACATGTGTACAGTTTAACATTAAGGCAGTCTCCCGACTTAGAGATGAGCTGACACTTCAAGTTGTATAATGTCATATTTATCTTTACCAACAACTGTCCCGATGCTCCACTCCCAGGGTGTTACATGTGTTGTAGTTGGGGTGGCAGGCTGAACCAAGCCACTCCACCAGCCAGCGTACCTGTGCTACCACACTCCCAGTACCGGAATGATACCCCACCGGACACACAGCACAGGTCTCATGGTTGCCCTGTTGGTCAGGATAGGGATCTCCGTAATGCTGGTCTGCTCCCTGTTGCTATGGGAGATGGACCGCTAGGGTGGGAGCCCAACTGGCACCTCTCACTACCAGAGGATACCCCACCTTCCCTAGGTACCACACCTCAACCTGGTTTTCCTGTGGCATTGCAACTTGACTTGGTTGTCATTAGCAACAACCTTGTTCTACATCAAAGTGCAGCTTACTTGTACTGTAGTACTGTATACTTTATATCCCTTAGTGCTATTACAGGCCCAGGTCCTTTGTATACACCATCCCCATTATGTATCCCTTTAGGAATAACTTCAGACTAGGCTCAGGAAAAGGTCAACAGTTTTCACTCTTCTTCTTTAGTGCAAGCATGATACAGGATAAATTAGGAATAGTTCCTTACATTTCTGACTAACTATGAATCAGCCCAGGCATACCTTTCAATTGAATCAAAGTCCATGTTTGGTGGCGAGTCAGTTATCAGAGACATTGTCAGGGCCTGGACTTGAACCTGGGACTTCTACTGTGTCAGGCAGTAACTCTTCTCACTGAGCTACCTAGGATGCTGGACAACACTCTGCCTCTTCTATTGGATAATCCTGCCTTGTGCCTTGTTTGCTCTTGAACCTTGAACTCCTTGCTCCTCCCATGAACTTCCTATATAAGCCATGTCCTTGGACTTCCTCCTTGCCAGATTATTGTGCCTTTCCAGCCAATATCCCGCTACTGTTCCTGCTGCTGTCTACACCTCCGCTACTGACCTTTGGCTTGTTCCTGACCACGATTTCGTCTCATCCTAACGTACTACGATTGATCTGCTACTATTTGTGACCGACCCTTGGCTTGTGACCGACTCTGCTTTTGTCTGATCCCTAACCTGTTGATCCGCTATTGGTTCCCAGTCTGCTCATTCCCTGGTGGGGTGATCCTGAGATCTGCGACCTGGTATTAACACGCAGCCCAATCCATCTCCACCATTAGGAGCTCTGGTGAATACCGGTTAATACTTAGACCCTGCACCTCAGGTGAGCCTACGTCATTCCCAGGGGGATCCGCTGGTGTACCTATCCTGCTGGTTCCAGGTAAGCCTTTTACTGCTATAGCAACTGGTCTCTGAACCTGACCTTACACCGTGACAGACATGGTCCATGACTAACTGGTTCACAGCAGCTCCATAAGTGACTCTCGGGTCTCAGCTTTCCCCCAATTTATATCACAAGGCAGGCCAACTGAAACCCCAAAACACCATGAACCGGTGACCAAGAGTATTTACCTCACTTAAGTAGGATTCAACCTGCTTACAGACTCACTACATCTGCTGGAAGTCTATTCCAATCAGCAACTATTCTTTTAGTAAAATAATACTCTCTACGTTTAGTTTTAAACTCTCCTACTGTTAGGTTGAAGTCATATCCCTGTGTTCTTTATCGTGAGTTCTTAGCTTCATATTGAAAATGCTGCCCTCCTGAACCTTATTCACCCATATGATATATTTAAAGGTTTCAATCATGTCTCCCCTTTCCTGGGGCTGCCACAAGTACTGGCCATCCACACGAAGGAAGAGACAAGCAATGCAGATTAACAGTAAGAGTGGGACCTTGTTCTGCTGGGCACTATTCAAATGCCTGCATTCAGATGGGTTGGGTGGAAAGATTTAAATCTTTAAATGAATGTACGGCATAAAGAGTTATATAAGATCAATGCACAATTACTCTTCAAAAGATCCTTCAGTAAGCAGATTTCAATGACTATCTCATGTCTACATTTAGCCATACAGATATCTAACACTACGCAGCGAACCTTACATCCAGTGCTGAACTACATTTAGAAAGCAATGACATTAACTTGGTTCAAACACAACACAGGCAAAACCCAAGTAATTGCTTACACTTTAGAGTGGCAATATTGTCAGCAGTTGCTATTTTCTGCCTTTCTTGCATTAGTCAGCCATTGTAACACAGCTGGTGCCAGCGCTGAATGGCCAATTCACTGCCCAGGATTTATTATTTTATATACAGTAAATGTCAGAAAGAAAAATTAAGAACCACTTCATCAAAATGAATAACTTAGTTTGGTGTAAATAATTAGCAAATCTGGCAAAATAAATCCTGATTTTCTGCTTTGCAAAAATGGAGTGCTGAAGTGTGAACTCTCAGCTGTCCAAGATAAAAGGTATTTAAAGCATATCTAAACTCCAAAACAAAACATAATATATTGCAGGCTTCCAGTGTCTACAAGAACCATTCACTTTTTTTTTCATACTTTTTCCTTAAGGCCCCTTTCACACAGGGCAGAATCCGACTTGCTCAGCAGAGGATCTGTCCACTGATTCCCTGCTGATCAGAGTAGAGAGGGCAGGTGACAGATCCATGTCAGCTCAGTTTATGCTGAGCAATCAAGGACAGAGTCTGCTCTGCTCTATGGATAGACCGACTATTTGTCACATGCCTGATGAAGGGGTCCTGCAAGACTCTAAACCGTTGCCTTGCTCTATTTGATTGTTCATTAAAAAATTTGGACCCATATTGGTGATCTTCAGAGTGCTGGTGACATTCTCCCTTACTGATTCTGTTCGGTTCCAGACGACGGTCGCTGCAGCACCCACTTATACACACAGCCATTTTTAACGCAGGATCCCCTTCTGTGGTTTTTTTTTTTTTTCAGTTTTTTAGCGTACCAGATCGGATTGGAGAGAGGCAGGTTTAAATGGACACAAGTCCGTTGACACCCATCGGTTGATAAGGACACAAGGACCATTTAATCTGATTTGCCTGAAAAGCTGACAGGTGGACCTGATCAGATCGCCCTTGTGATAGGGCCCTTATTTTTACCTGGTATTCCTGTAAATAACATGATTCTTCTCCTGGGTGGCTATGCTTACTCAACTGTATCTATAGAGGGAATCATGGCTGTCTTTGTTCATCTCATTATATGAGGGATGGGAATAATATCTCACAGAAGAAAGATAACATTGTTTTTGCTTTCATTTTAGCTCACAGGAAACGACAAGGATGGATATTGCATTTCTGCAAGATCAACAGTCATTTTCTCTACTTGCTTAGCATGTCCTTAGTATGAAAAAAAATTAAAACTAATGCAGCCACCACATCTAAGAACTGGTAAGCCGATATATACTAAATCGTTCTTGGGTTTTGTTGCCCTTTAAGCACGTTAGTAGTAAACCATACATCGATGGAAAGTTTTGTGCCCAATCAAAATGACAATATACATGGAGGGCATAGGTAATGTTCTACTGAGTTTTCTGCTGCCTCAAACCTGTCAGGAATGGACTTGCCAATAACGGTGGGACTCACCTGCCTTGTGGGCTGCAGTACCAGGGCTGGCCAGCGGGTGCTCTCAACAATCAGAGACTCACCCCTGCAGTCAGCCAAAACACCTGAAGCTGATTGCAGGGGTTGTATTTAAGGAATGGCCAGACTCACAGTCAGGGCCTTGGTGTGTGTTTTTCCATGGGCCCCTGTATCTTGTAACCTGCATTCCTGTTCCTGTTTCTGCCTGACTTGTTGCTGACCCTGCCTGATCCTGACCTCTGCTGACTTCTCCTGTTTGATCCCTGGCTTGTGACCCTGACCATTCTCTCCGCCTGCTCCTCCTGTACCTACCTGCCCGATAGTTATCGACCCGGCCTGCCTGACTACGTTGTGCTCTATATGTGTA